ATACTGACTTTCAAAAAAATATCTGTTTATTGCCTATAATTCTAGATAAATTCTCAGCAAGCACGAGCTTTGTCCAAGGTTGATGTAGCCAGCCATTAGTTCTTTCAAATCAAGCCATCTGGTATATTCAGTGATTCAGTGATACATACAGAGTGATAGACATCTTGTAAAACATCACTGGGTAGGGTACCTTCTTTACCCTCAGGTTCAAAATTTACCATCATTTTACACAAGGAAGGTGCTCTCTGGGCACTCTGCTACACCAAAATCCATACATTTTGCAAGAACATCACTCTTATCTTCCTGCTTATCTCATTGCTTCTCCTGTCCACCCATCCCATGAAAGAAGCATTATCTAACTTTTATTCCTCAAGTTTTAAAACTAAAGTAGAACTAACATCTCCATTACTTGTATGCACTCATCAGGAGACAGTGAGAACTTACAATAAAAGAATTGTTTAGGTTGGAAAAGACTCTTAAGATCAGCAAGTCCAATCATTAGTCCAGCTCTACCAAGTCCACCACCAAACCACGTCCCTCAGCACCACGGCTTTTTAATACCCCCAGAGGTTGTGACTCAACCACTTCCTTGGGCAGCCTGTTCCAATGCCTTACCATGCTTTCACTGATGAAAATTTTCCTAATATCCAGTCTAAACCTTCCCTGGTATATCTTGAGGTCATTTGCTCTTGTCCTGTCTCTTGTTACTCAGCAAAAAGAGACCAAAACCCACCTCACTACAACCTCCTTTCAGGTACATGACAAACAGGACAAGTTGATCTAAGACAACGACATAAACATTCAAGTCATTCAAGTGCCTTAACATAGAGGATTATACAATAGACACAAGGGCCATATTCTCTATGCTAGAGAAAAGGAAATAAAACAGGATTTTTACTCACAAGGCACAGGAAGAAGTTCCCAGGAGATGCTGAAGCCGGAACAGCATCACTGTTGCAGCAAAGGCACCATCGGAGACTATTTGAGTCAGCTGCCCACCCCATTAACCTAATAGTTCCCAACCCTAAGAGGGAAATCCTGGTGCTAATGAACTCCTTGGCAAGCTCTCTTGGATTTAAAGGCTCAGGATTTAAAATGAGGGCTGGATAGAAGGGGAGTTCATTGAAGTCAAGGGTCCCTTCTTTCTGGCACTGATGTTCACTGTTAATTTCTGCGCTTCAGCTTCACTCAGGAATAACATTATTGTGACTATAACAACAACAATGCTATTTATATGCTGTGCCTACCCTCTCTTGGGCAGAGAAAACATAAAGGCAAAACCATAAGCAGGTATTGGCCACTTAAAACAGCAAATGTAAAAGGAAGAACTAGAGAAATAAAAATGTGGCTCCCACCTCCTGCCATAGCATGTGGTAGCCCTACTCCCAGCTCAGGGCCTCAGCTCCTGCAAGGGAAAGAAAGAGAAGACATGTTTCTCTGTGGGGCCACCATCACAAGGCCTCTAAACCCTCTCCAGTTCAGATTGGATTGCTTATTTAATGCTGCTGAGCTTTGCAGTAAGGGAGCTGGTTAGGAAACCCTCACTGGGTGTTTCCATTGGCATTTAAACTCCTAAGGCACAAAGGTTGACAGAGGCAAGTGGTGAAGAGGAGCTGCAGGTGGTGATTTTTGAAAATTCTCTTTAAACTGAGTCATTCCCCTGTGATAACTCCTTAAAGTCACACTATATATTAAAACAGGGGCATAAGCCAGAAAAACATGCAGCATACCATCCTCTCCAGGGACCCAATAGTGTTTAGAGCAGGATGGAGGCAGTAGCATCTGCAGCCTCTTAAGAATGTCTTCTGCTCTTTTAATAGTTCTCCTTGGGGGTATGGAGGTTTGTATCACATATCTTTCTCCCGTTGCTGGATCAAAAATAGTGCACTGAGTCACTTGTCACAGGCAGTTTGACAGTCCCCAGCCACGCTGAACACACGTCCCACCGCCTGCTCTGGTCCAGCTCACCCAAGGCCTTCTTCACCCAAGGGTCCTCTCACCTCAAACAGCATCTTCACTTCAGTAAGGTCTGCAGTGATGGTTAAATCCCCCTTTCTGCTGCAGCACATGCTTTCAGCAGGTTGGCAGATTATGCCATTTGATCCAAAACCACACTGAAACAGGTGGAAATTTTTCTACTGCCTTCCAGGAAGCTTGATCAGGGCTGATGGGTTTGAGATGTCCACCTTGGAATGGGGCAGCTGGGCCTGGATAAAGGCAGTTCCACACAGGAACATGCACTGCAAGGAGCACTGACCCTGCCCATTTTTAGTGGACACACCAATATGACTGAGGATGAGGAGAGGGAAAGGTGTAACTAGGGAGCCTAAAATGCAGTGATTTTGAAACTTCTTTTCTCCTGAACCTTAATGTGGAGCTAAAGCACTTCCCCTTCCACACAAACCTGCAAAACGAGCAAGAGGGAATAATTCATGGTGGTTTATTAATATCCAGTTCCTAGGAATAGGTATTTCCATGCTTTGTACAAATAATCACTGTTAAAGTTGCAAGCTTGGCAATTTCACAGAGATTTTTCAGTTTCTAGTATCTATTTAAATTTTGTATTTTATTTCTCAAAACATTCTTGTGCTTTATCCCAAACAATCGGTGCTAGCACACCTATGATAATTACTTTAAGGGGACACTGATGTACAAAGAAAGAGTGGAAGAGAAAGGAAAACATGAAGAAACAAATTCAGTTTTCAAAAAAACTATTAATTACCTGTTAGTTTGATATTATTAACTATTAATAAATAACTAACCACAAGGGTCAGATGCCAAAAAGTCCTCCTAACACTGCTTCCAATAGGGCTCTGTTGTGACTCGTACCTTGCTCAGCACACAGCAATATTGACCCACTGGATTGAGTAATGCTGATCATGCCCAGCCTGCAGTCTCGCCTTACAGGGCAGCCGCAATTTTGACATTGACCCTGCTGCTAATCTATGCTAGCATGTAAACCATGGCCTTCTTAAAGACTTTTATACCAGCCTCTCATAGCTGCTTTTTAGGCCTCTGATCTCACATATCAGCATTGTCACACCTTTGCTAGTCCTTCGAAAGAAAACAGTTTATTACTTCTTGACACTCTTGTCTTCTCACTGTGTAATTTCAGGATTTTAAATGTATTTATTTTGTGTCCCTTACTCCCTTTTGCACTAATATGCCACCTCCTCAGTTCACTTCTGGTTTGTATCTATTTTATAGGGACATGTACTACTGAAGTAATGTACTTATCATGGCCTTGAGGGATAAAGAGACAAAGTGGGACCTTGTTATACTCTAATTTTGCACAAGTATGTCCCTTGATTTCATTAGGAAACACAACATGAAACTGATATGTTCAGTGGCTCACCAGCAGTCACTACAAGTATCTTAAAACTATGGCATAAAACATAAGTGTTCTCCAGTCTCCCTTTCTGATTAACCAGCTCTATGACCCTTCTCTCCATCCAAGCAGCTTCACAAGCTCCAGCTGGAATGCACTAAACAGTGTGAACTTATGAGTACAAACTGATGATGATATCTGGACTCTGAAGCACATGAAAGGGAATTCCCATGGACTCAGCTGGTTCTGCCACACCCAAAACTCATCACTGGGTCACTACAAAACCTGTGCTTCCTACTTCTTGTGTCCATGTCCACACCTCAGCCAGGACAAGCCTCTGGCTTCCCTCATGCCGGTTTCTGTGCAGAGGACATGTGGGAGCCACGGCACACTCTCCCCGGCTGCTAAGCAGGATCCAAACTGTGATACCACCTACCAAAAAGCAGATGTGGGCTGAGAAAGAAAGTTCAAAAGCCCACTCACTTTGGACTTCAACTACAAAAAACTGCAGTGTTTGCTCATTGCTGAGAATGAGGAACTTTTGTACGTCAAATGATTGCACTGACGCCTTCTTCAGAACCCTCCCACGGAGAATGGGGGCGGTCAGCACAAGTGCAACTTTCAGAAAAATTTCAGATACCTGTGCTCCTAAATACTGTGTAAATGTCAAAATGAAAGGATCCCCAAAAAGAAGTGATATCCCTAGTGCAAAATAAATACTCTTCCTTGCTATGCCCCTGAAATGCTTTTGAGTATTTTCAATGGTGAAAGAACAGAAGGATTTTAGATCAAAACAATCCCAAGATTCAAAATCACCAACACTTCGATTCAAATAATTCACTGTTTTAACAGCACAAATCCTGCCTTCCTCATAATATTTTGATGTCTCCTTATTGCAAGACGTGGAAAATCAGGCCAATTCTTGTAAAAGAAGTGACATAAAAGATGGTCCTGACAGCAGCCCAGTGAAAGCAAACTGTTTCCTCCCATCTTTTCCCTTCCATTCACAGTGAACAAAGAGAATTTTCTACCTCTCTCCTTCACAGATCTCCCTGAGGCAAAAAGAAGCTTGCATCAGTTCCTGAAAATAGTTGCATGGTATTACTGCTGAAACTGCTTCACATTTAGGTCAAACCTTGAAAAGAGCTTTAAAATTGCAACCAGAGCTGAAAATGTTTTATGAGAGAACCTTAAGGTGTATCTTACGCATTGAAATAAGGCACTAAGGAGACCATGGAGAAGTCAAAGATTTCAAGTCACTGGAAAACTAACTAATATTTTGTCTATGATTCTTTTAAGAATAGAGCAGTGCTATTGTGACAAGTGATTAAAAAAAATGAACTTTCAAAGGAACGAAGGTGCCTGGGAAATGCAGGTAGCTCTACAGTAAGTGCCCTCTGACAGGCAACAGGAGACAGCACAGGGGCAGTAAAAGGGAAAGCTGGAAAATAATGCGACAGTTCAACTCAATCTGACAGAAAAAACTTAATCATCAAAGGCATTTAACTGTTCAGCATTTTAAAAAATAAGGGGGAGGTATGATTACAAATGTAAAATATGCCTTTCCAAATTTTCTTTGCTGACTACTTGTTAATGCTAGTTTTCCTGTCTTGTTGTTGTCAAACTCTTATCACACTTTGAGAGCTGTTCATAGAAGAGTACTGGTGTAGTGGGAATTTGGAAACTGAGTAGGTATTTATTCCTGTAACTGGCAGTCTGATAATGCTGATACAGGACTTCATAAAACTGAAATACACAAACAGCAAAAATATAACCAATATTTTAGCATTTTAAAACAACATTTGATTTCAGCCAAAAGTTGTTCTGTTTCATTACAGATGCCTGAAAGCATTCTGTAGTCACTATGGAAGTTTTCTTATACTTCTGAATGAGTTTGTCTTATTGTTACACTAATAAGGCATAAAGAGTTTGCCATAATGTTGCCAACACAAACCATTTTGGGTGTCTGTTGTGAACTACATAACACACAAGACTTGATACTAGAAGCTCCTTTAAGTTGAAACTAACTTGGTGCCTCTCTGCACAGCTTGTGTAACCAGGCGTTGGATCAGTTCTGTAATACTTATTTTTAGGTTGTATTTGAACATTATATTTTTTTCCTGGGTGACTGGTTGCAGTGTAGTTAATCCTGGAGCTACCTCCTGATAACCCTGCATAGAAGTAAAATTGCTGCTGTTACCAGTGTGCCCAGATAGTGGATTTGCAGGAGTGTGCTAAGGGGAATTGCTCCTGTTATCACTGTGGAATCGAGAGGGTGAACATGGCTCCTTCATGTATGCTGGCAAATGACAGATCTGGAATTCAGCTAAAAACCAAGGCAGGTGCCGGGTGCGTAGGGAGATCAGGATGAAATTAGAAAGGGAATCGTTTCCTCAGCAGGAGTTTATTTTGTGACACAGCATCCCAGAAGTGACCACACTGTCTTACACACCCCTCCTTCCTCTAAGCACAAAAACCTCAGCTTCTTTTATAAAAGGGAAAGGAGTGAAAGGTTTTGCCTACTGCATGCAGATATAATTTCAGCATTCAGCACTGCCCTTTCATTTAAAATATCTAATTCTATTTTTATTCTCTGATTATCTAGCAGAATTCACCATGATCCAAGAGAGGTTAATTTTTTTACTGAGTATCCTACGGCCGTGTGGCTTGGGCGGAGGGGAATGTTGCTTCTCTTCATGTAGAAACTGAAATAGAGAATTTTTCTGATTTACAGTTAATTTCAACTGTATACTATCTGTTACTCCTTTTAAAGGCAAAGTATTGCTTACTATCAGAAAGGTACAGTCCAAATAGGTATTCCTGAATGTTTTATTTTGGAAGTGTAAAGGTTTTAAAAATAAACAAAGGTAAATATTCAAATACATTTCATATTGCATCTGGTAGGAGTGGCTCCATACAACACAATATGGATGATGCAAATCCAGCAGTATATTTCTTTGAGACATAGAGTATAATATATAGACACTTCCGGATCTGGTCTTCTGTCATACATAACGTTGTCTGACCCTTTTGTTATAATTTAAATCCAGCCTACTTTATTAATTACTAATATTTTATTTTTGCTATATTGATTGTTCAAGTAAGAAAAAAAAGCAGTTAAAAACTACTGACTTGCGAACACTGCAAGACCCTAAAAACTGCAATGTCTGAGGATAAATACACATTTATTTTTTGAGAAAATGTGTTATTACCTGCAGTTGAATCAATGCAGAATGATCGTGCAATTAAATAGTCTGACTTGAAATTTAAAGCTGCAGACCATGATTTTCCTACACCCAGTTCTGCTTGAAATCTCTCACATCTTTAAAAAAATATAATTAGCTTTAGATTTCCCCACAATAAATAACACCAGAACATACCTTGTGCTACCAACCTGAATTTAAAAAAAAGTAAGAGGCCACCTCAGTGTTTTGAGTTCATGAGATCATCTTTCAGATACAAAGCCCTAACAGAGTTTTCCAGTCAGAAGGCATCAGGAAGGCTCTTCACTTATGGTAAACTTGGGTTTTAGCTTGACAGACCTCCTCCTCATTGTGTTTTTAGGGGACAATGTCATGGTGTCCATAATGCTCCTGTCCTCCTCCAGCTGCCTCGCAGTGCAAGAAGGGGTGGGCACTTTCACTGTGTTGCCAAATTTAGAGTAATCCACAGAGTATCTCCCATCTTCCTCTGCCACAATGGGCACAAACCTTTGGCCCCAGAGGATTTCGTCTGCCAGGTAGGAGGTTCTGGCCTGAGTGGTGATGCCTGTGGTCTCCACCACCCCTTCCAAGATGACAATGATTTCCAGGTCCTCGTGGTGGTGAAGGTTCATGGGGGAAATGTCATAGAGGGGGCTGTTCTTGTCTATCACGTGATAGATGATGAGTGGGGAGACGAGGAAGATGCTGTTGCCCCCCACGGGGTTCTCCATCTGGATGTCGATCTGGTTGAGGGGCACCACCTCCCCCTCCAGGCTGGCGGTCTTCTTCACCACCTGCATGCGGATGGTGGCACTGATGATCATGCTCTTCCGGAGGTCGCCCACGCGCAGCATGAAGCAGAGCTTGCCCTCCCGCAGGGCGATGACCGCGTGCTTGCTGAAGATGAGGGTCTCGGCCCGCCGGTGGGCCTGCGAGGTCTTCATGAAGATGCAGCCCAGCATGATGGCGTTGATCACCAGCCCCACGATGTTCTGCACAATCAGCACCAGGATGGCGGCCGGGCACTCCTCCGTCACCATGCGCCCGCCGAAGCCGATCGTCACCTGCACCTCGATGGAGAAGAGGAAGGCGGAGGTGAAGGAGTGGATGCTGGTCACGCAGGGCACAAAGCTGGCCGGGGCCCCCGCCGTTCCCTCCCCGGGGTCCCGCTGCAGCCGCGTGCTGTGGTCCAGGTCCCCGTGGGCGAAGGCGATGAGCCACCAGACCATGCCGAAGAGCAGCCAGGTGCAGAGGAAGGACATGGTGAAGATGAGCAGCGTGTGTGGCCACTTGAGGTCCACCAGCGTGGTGAAGACATCCTGGAGGAAGCGTCCCTGCTCCCGGATATTTTTGTGGGCCACATTGCAGGCGCCGTTCTTGCCCACGAAACGCGCCCGCCTCTCCCGCGCGCGGTACCGGGCGTGATCCGGCACATCCTCCGCCAGCCGGGTCAGCACGTACTCCTCGGGGATGATCCCCTTCCTCGAGAGCATGGCTCCCCGCCGCCGCTCCGCCGCTCAGCACCGCCCCGAGCACCGGGGGCGGGAGGGACCGTGTGTCTCTGTGTGTGTGTGAGTGCGGCGGGGACGGGGGGGCGGCCGCGCCCGGGGGCCGAGCGGGCGAACGGCGCCGCCGCAACCCCCGCCGGAACCGGTCCTGGATCGCTCCCCGTGCGAGCTGGGGGCGTTCCTTTACCTTTTACCCCTCGGGGTTGTTTTTTTTTTTATTTATTTTTATTTTTTTTTTTCTTTTTTCCCTGAGGAAGGGTTTCGTGCCGCTGTTTGTTTGTAAACATTTGATCCAGGATGGATTTACTCCCCCAGCTGCCTTCCATTAACAGGGGGGCTGCTTTGTGGGATGTTGTGGCTTCGGGTCAGGTGGTTACTCCGTGAAATACAAAAAAAGAAAGAAAAGAAACGGTACTGGGCAATTTTTTAAAACGAATTTTTAATATTATTAATAATAATAATAAAATCCCTGAAATTCACCTGCACGGTTTTTTTCAAAAAGAGGAAAGTGTTCATCTAATAAATCGGGCAGTTGGTGGCAGGAAATTTGCTTCAAGAAGCTAAATCCAAGGATATAATGGTTACACAGAGACCTGGAAATAAAGGGACTGAATACCACTTCTAAAATTTGCTTGAAGAAGCTAAATCCAAGGATATAATGGTTAAACACAGACCTGGAACTAAAGGGGTTCAATCCCACTTATAAAATTTTCTAGAGTTATTTAGACTAAACAAGGATTTTTTTTTTTTTTTTTTTTTTTTTTTTTTTTTAACAAGGGAGCCCATGAACTTACATGAGCTATGGCTGCTCAGGAAAATGTCTATAGTCCAAATAGAAGTAAAAATTGCAATAAAAATGATCCAGCTGCAAAGGGTTAACCCCTGGTGACATGAACTTCCAGAGGGGCATATCCTCGGAAGAGGCGACAAAAGGAGGCAGGAAGGTCGAACCCATCTGTAGCACTACGATGTCTCTGTGGGTGTAAATGCATACATGTGCACGCCTGAAAGGATGTATCTTCCTGACAAGATGCATTATTCAGAAACATTCTGATCTGACTTCTCTATTGTGTAAACAGCAATATTCTCATCTACGTGTTTACTTACTCTAATTTCAATATTTTGTTTCTATTTCAGTCTAGACACCAACACTGTAGAATTGCTAAAACATCCTAGGATGTTTTAGGAATTAGCAATCCCGCATAAGGGGTTTTTCTTCAGTGCCAGTGGATTTGTGATTATTTTTTTTTCTAATTGCACGTGTCCATGGACTTTCCCTTCAGTTTAAGCTCTAAGTGCTGTGATACACACTGTAAACAGCTATTGGCCCTGATTCCCTGGGCAAGGCAATTGTCCAGTTGATATCTGGGAGTCAGCCAGTTGGGGCTGAAATTAACTTTCACCACCTACAGCTACTTAAAGCAGCCCACCTAGGGATTTCAGACTAGCATTTTGAAGTAATCACTGAGCATTCTGAGCAGTTGTTATGGGTCTTGCAATTAAATGCTTACTTTAGACTATTTCTACTTTTTATACATGAATAGTTGCATGTCCTTGCACACATCTATTCCTTTTAGATGGTCCAGTTTCCCAATACTGCGTGATTTCTCCTGTTCTAGTTAATCTTTCTTGCTCCTTTGATAAACAAAACTAGAAAAGCAACATGTGGCTGCCAGGACACCGAGTGTAGCCAAAGGTGTTTCCCCTTTCTCTGTATCACTTTGCTTGGCTCTTTTTGTGTGCTTACTGTGAATATGTCACCTGCACCTACACTTTTAGTTTTATATATAAATCATGCCAAGCACATGATTTATATATACAGTTTAATTTTTTAGAAAGTTTGGGGTTTTTTAAAAAATACGTTTTTTTCCGAAACATTTTAAAAAACCGCAAAACAACCCAAAAGGATGAAGTAATTTGAAGATTTACTTGTCAAAAGTGTAGTTCTCTGGTTGATAGCAGCTCATACTTCCAGCATTTTGCGGTGAGCACGGGGAGGCTGTCTAACACCATGCAGTTAGCAGGCAACATTTCACACTCTTTTGCAGAGATGGACATAGGGATTCAAGAGGTAGTCCTGACTTCTGTGATGTTTTTCCGTACCCTTTTCTAGCCGTGGGCTTATTCTGTACCTTTTCCTCCAGGGGGCGGTACCTCCATGAACGTAGAATGGTTAAAAACTTGTGTGGGGGAGTGTTTTTAAAGAGAAGAGTGGACTGCTGCGTCGCCTGGTGCTAGGAACTACCCATGGAGCCCGCTACAGCAAGGGATATGGCACGAACACATTCACTGTGTTGGTTTTAGGAATCTTGAACTCTATAGAGCTAGAATGGTGTTTCCTTGTTTCCACTTCTGTTCTTTATTGGGACTGTCACTGGCTACTTCTTTTTTCTCTACCTCTGAGCACTTACGGGCTGAGATGGGATAGCAAAGCAAGTGGCTTCTGCTGAGGAATTTCTAGACCAGAATAAAAAGAAGCCCTGTCGTTGGGGATCAAGTGGCAGGTACTTAAAAGAAAAAAGTGACAGATCTTCTGAGTGAGCCAACATAGTTGTGTTAAGAGCTTCTGAACAAATTGGGCTCCCAGGAATGAACAATCCCACTCTGTAATATTGAATCACAGGGGGTAAGTTTTTCAAACCAAAAATAAGTTTTACATTTCAAAACTCCCTCCGCCCCAATTTATCCCAATTTTAATGGCTATAAGATCTTAGGATAATTGTTAAATTAAAATCTAGCTGTTGCCATGGTATTACTCTGCCTTTAGAAGCAGAGTAAGGCTACAAAGGTTTCCCTTGGAAATCAGAACGTGATGAAATGGCCACATTAAGACAAAGGAATAAATGCTATAAAGGTTTTCATAGAATGGAAGCATTATAGAAAGGAAGCAAAAAAAATCCTGGTTACATCTCCATGGGCAGTTTATCCCATGAATACCTTTAGGACTGAACTGCGTCCCATCCCAGAGGAGAACTGAAAGTCAGGCCATGGCTGCTCCTGTGTTTTCTTGCACCCATTTCAGTATGGCCCTTTGCTTAGCAATGCTTCATTGCCATGAAAACACATATGAGCCTGATTCAGTAGCAAGTTCTGGACTGCCTGTCTTGAGGCAACAAGGTTTATTGACTTGGATAAACACAGTGAGCCTCCCACCATAGAAAAACATTCTTGGGTATTGCTTCAGATCACAGTTGAGACTCTAACCCTTTAGAGTTAGGGGCAGAAAATCCCTGGGACTTGGCCCTGTGTCAAGAAGACCAGATAAAACGTGCTGAGGAAACATCAAGTGTGTCCTGTTCAAGTGGCAGCTGAGTCTCCCTGTTCACATGTATTTATTCAACATTGTGGTACCATTGAAAAGATATAAAATCGTTGAGTATGAACCAACTCACCCTACTCTTCTACAATACTGCTTTTGTGAAATATAAGTCCCATTTAAAATGGAAACATATGACACTTGTACTGTGAGTTCTAATTTCTTAATACTGTGAGATATAGCACAGCCACATATGCTGTGTCCCTTACTCCCCTGCTTTCCCTTCTGGGTAAGGTTGTCAGAAGCTTGTAGAATAGGAACTAGTCCAAATTGCAGTGTCAAATCCCAGGCATTTAATTAAAAGCATATGAAACCTCGCTTCTCTGCATCTCTTCTCTTGCCACTAGGATTTAGGATTTTCCACAGATGGCTGCAAAACCTCTGAGGATTTCTCTCTGCAGCATGAGTTTGAGATGTCCTGCAGAGTGGTGTTTTCCTAAGTCTTTACAGGATGAGATCCTGCCTTGAACCAGTACTGGAAAACTAGGAGACAGCGTACACAGTAGCTGTAGTAGAAACTTGCTCTGTGCCCTTGAAAGGAGAGTCACCTGTCTCCTATTTCCTCTCACTTTGCCCTAATGGAAGCCTGGTATCCCAGAGTAAAAACACACAAATGGTTCTGCAGCCATTTTTTCTAGGACATTGCCCAGCAAATGATTCCCTGAAGGAGGAGATATCTTCCAGCTGCCCATTTTCTCTCTTCAAGTGTAGTAGGCAATGTCAGAGCTCGTGCATTTCATCTGCATAACCATATCCTACACCTCCCCACTTTTAACACTGCTCATACACCAGTGACCTGCCCTTTGTTATTGCCCAAATAACAGCAGGCAGATGCTGCAAATCCTCTGCTGTGGCACTGGTAACACTACTTAAACAGCAACAACAGTTCTTCAGTTTTCCTTGCTTTCTGCTGCAGTGTTAGAAGTAATGCATTAAAATATCATATATCCCATGAGAACATCAAGCTGTCTCTTTGTAGAAAATGAAGCCTTTAAAAACAGCTTCCAAATTAATTGAGCAGATTAAAGAGACAAAAAAAGAGTTCTCCAAAGTGTCAGGAATTCTTCAAAAAGGGGAAGATGACAACAAAAAAAAGTATGTAAAGGCAAAGTTGCTGTACAAAGAATAAGGGTGAAAAATGCACTGCAGCCTTCCATTGGGTTATTGACATTTTAACCCCCTAGCAATGAAAAAATCCTGAAGTGATTCTCATAGGGCAGAGATGAGTAGCCATCTAGCCAGATTAGGATACTTTCAGTGGTTAAAAATTATCCTAATAAATATATATAATATAATTCTAAGGATCACAGTGAATCCAGAAACAGCATGACAGTGGGTGAAATATGTGAAAAGAGGAGACGATGAGTCAAGTTCTCATGGCTCCGAGCTACAGTGAAAGGTTTAATACTGTTTATTTACTAGACTTGGAGGGATAATTTCCAGATGAATTGGTACATCTGCACTGGTCTGGAAACAGTGGGCATTAAACACTGATACTTTATCACAGCCTGCCTCCTCTCAGCTTCACAGTTTGGGAAAGAGTCTGCCTCAATCCTGCTTGGAATCAGTATTCTATGGGCATAGAGATGGAATCAGATTGTGACTAATTTCTAGAAGGTATTAGAGAGTCTAAGACAGCACAGGCACTATCAATAAACCACAATATAAAAAAATGTTTTATAGATTTTATATTTGGATATTAAAGCTTTACAAAGTCGTATGATTGAAAGAGATACAAGCTTTTCAGAAATACCTTTGGTATATAATTTTTC